GTCCTATTCTTTACCACTGAACCCATTTTTCACGATTTTTTTGTCCGGACTTGATGTGAACATAGCTATATGTAGTACATGTCATGCCAAGGCACTGTACTCCAGTCACTGGATAGACCCCCTGTGCAACTCAGCTTCCTGGGGAGTGCTGTATAATGCTGTGGCTAGTGAGCACCTGGTACTTATGGGTTGGAGCGATTATGCTATACAGTTAAACTTGCCTAATTCCAATAATTTCTAAGTATCTTTTTTTCTCTTTTGTGGGGTCGTCCCACTTTTATTCATAAGTTCAGCATTCACAGTATAATTTGTAAAGAGTTGTTCAATATGGCTTCTTAAAATATCTTTAACAATTTTTTTTTTCTTTTTTCTTTTTACTTTCACTTGAAATTTATGCACATCGGTCAAGGTGTACAATTACCATGCCATTTTTTCTATTTGTTTTCTGTCATTTTAATAAAGAATATAATAAAAGGTCAAGCTTTTGTTTAAGCCTATTTTTTTAAAGTTTGTTCGCTTGTATTTATAAACACTACAGTGTATATACAATATTTATAGGCTACATTATTTTTTCGAAATAGTTTCCCTTCAGACTATAATATGGTGAAATTTTTTTCACCAAGTTTAACCAATATAATATTTTTTCATTCTGTTAAGGTCAATCATTGACCATTTCTTTTTTGCTTTTTCATTGTTAATTAAGAAATCACAGCTTATTAAACTCTTTAATTCCAATAAAAACATAACCCAAGGACATTGTTTCCTTTCCGAGTCTGTACTTAACCTGTCTCTTATACACATCTAGATGTGTATAAGAGACAGTATATATATATTAGAAAGTAGCAGCTGCTGCAACGGTGGGGTTTCTCTCAACCATAGTAAGACAGTTGCAGTGACTATTTCGGAGAACCTCCGCCTCCGAAGTAAACCTAATGTATCAACCTCATATTATGAGTGCTTTTATTACTTTTCTTGCTTCGTTTTTAAACTCTTGTCTTCTGATAGTATATATGACTGGGTTTAGAACTGAACCGATTGACAGTAAGGGAATCACTAAATACATAACTATATATGGCAAATCGCAGCAAAATGAGCAAAGCAGAACATAAACAAAAGTGGGTGTTGTACATATAATGAATGTACCAATTACAATCATTGTTGTCTTTATTGCTTTCCAAGACGGCGTAGAGGAGGTTGTCAGAGGCTGCCCTGTGATAACAGCGTTGATTCGGCGGGATTGCTCGCTAGCTATAATGTATATTCGCACATTTAAAGAAATGATTATAAAGTAGCTTATCAAAGAAATTGTTAGATTAATTATCGAAATCAGGGTAACTTGGTAACCAAATAAATTTTCACATACGACAATGACGAAGTCTGTATTACTTTTCCAGTAGCGTCCCTCTGCCCAAGTATATAAAGGGGTTGCCCATGCAAGAAATATTAAAATAGGAAACACAGTCTTTTTACTTGTCTGATAAGAAAATGGCCGAGTAATTAACAAGTATTTGTCTACTGACATCGCTAAAAGATGCATCAACGACACAGTTGTAAAATAGTTTATCACTATCAGCCACCAAATTTTCGTTATATGTAACATAAATGCTATACCAGACGTAAGGTCGACAATTGCAAGACTAGCAGTGAGATAATTGCCATAAGTGTGAAGTGATTTACACTTTATGATGACAACAACGACAAAAACGTTACCAACAAAAGCAAATACTCCAAGAAGAACAACGATTGTTGCATAAACATTAAAAGTACTTTCTGAATATAATAAATAGTCGGTCGAGTTCGTTTCCATTACATAAATATCGGTCTACATTGATTACAGAAATATGTCATCCCTCAGGAAAAATATAATAAATACACAAGCAAATATAGACCTACTGCCTAATAAAACGTTTAATTGGTAAAGAAAAGATATTAAAACTACAGGCTGCCAATGTATCGTCCTAGTACTTGGTTTGCATTCACGTTCATGACACCGAAATCGAATTATCACAAACTTCACATCATATCAAAGATGATATTCCAATTACACGAACGAGTATATTTAAGTTATTAGCAGGATTTTTCTTATAGGCACAGATCACAAAAACATGGAAATGTTGATTTCACTACATTATGAAGTTTTGAATTAGTAAATACAGATGTTAATTTATACGTGTAAAATTATATTTACACTTACACGTCACTCAACATTTGAACATCATATAATTTGGTTTAAAAGATTTTGAAAGTTCATTGCGATTTATTTAAATCAATGTCTCTCGCTCTTTGTGAGTGATGCCGCATTTACTTAACACTAGAAACAGAGCAAGCAATAACAGAAGTTACGTTTTCCTGAAGATCAGCAATTTACTTGGTGGCAGCTGTAAATTTATCGCTTCCCTCTAATAATACTGTTATCATTGAGGTGCGTCAAACAACTAAACGCAAGTCATTCGTAAATCTATTTTCTTCAGCAATGAATTATGCTTATACGCCTCGCCACTTGTATATTGTTGCTAATATCTTGCAAAACGACAGCGTAAACGGTCATAAGCAGAAGATATGCTCACATTCTAAATTCCTGTTCTGATTGGTCGGTTATTAAGATTGATTGACACTCCGGAAAGGTCAAATTTCTTCACTAAATTGCATAGTTAATAATGCTGACAGAAACTGAATGTTTGCACTAGAAATATAAAAGGCCGTCAATAACGTCCAAAGAACAAGGAACATTTACAAGTAGCCTACTAACACTAGTTGATGAATATGTTTGACAGTTATTATTTACTTATCAACAAGATTCAAGATCTAAGATTATTATACGTCAGTCACAAGCAGGGCAGGCGGAACGTTTTTTAAAGTGGGGGCCCCACTTATAAGTAGGCGCGTAACAGGGGTCTTGGGTCGGGGATGGGGCGGGGCGGCAAAGGTAATAATTTTCCCGGTTAGTAATTTATGACTTGGTGTGATACCCCCCTCCCCCATATAGAAAACAATACGACATAGGGCTTATTTTATTATTAATATAGGGCACACACGTGTGTTTGAAACTAAATGTAAGCATTTTCATCGTGGTTTTATTTATTACAATCATAGGCCTATTCTTTCACCATCATTACACATTGAGGCCCTTCTTTTAGGTAAAACGATCTTTCTTAAATTTTCTTTCTTGAATTTGGGACTATTATGTTTTTAAATAACTTAGAAGGGAAAGGAGAGCAAGCACAAGCTGTAATCCTAAGAAATGCGGGCGAAGCGCGCGAAAATTTTTTTGTGTAATTTCGTCGGAATTGATCAAAACTCCCTAAATGTGCAATTTTTAGAGGAAATTGGCCTACCTCAACAAGAAATGCTCCTAAGTTATATATGGCCACACTCGTTTTTTAAAACTGAATATAAGCATTTTCCTTATGGCTTTATTTATTACAAAAATATTCTTTCAACATCACTACACATATTCTTTCACCATCATTACACATTGAGGCCCTTCTTTTAGGTAAAACGATCTATTTTAAATTTTCTTTCTTGAGTTTGGGACTAGGCCTATGTGTTATAACTTAGAAGGCAAAGGAGAGCACAAGTTTTAACAATAAAAAAAATGCGCGCGAAGCGCGCATTTTTTTTTTTTTTTTAATTTGTTTGCATATTGCTTGCATATTTTGTTTTTTTAATTCTAATTTCGTCGGAATTGATCAAAACTCCATAAAAAGCCTACCTCAACAAGAAATGCTCTTATTTTATATATGGCCACACTCGTTTTTTTAAACTGAATAAGCTTTTTCCTTATGGCTTTATTTATTACAAACATATTCTTTTAATATCATTACACATTGAGGCCCTTCTTTTAGGTAAAACGATCTATCTTAAATTTTCTTGAGCTTGGGACTACTGTATGTGTTATAACTTAGAAGGCAAAGGAGAGCAAGCACAAGGCTTAACATGAAAAAATGCGCGCGTAGCGCGCGGAAAAATTGTTTTTTAAAAATTCTAATTTCGTCGGAATTGATCAAAACTCCCTAAAATGTGCAATTTTTAGAGGAAATTGGCCTACCTCAACAAGAAATGCTCTTATGTTATATATGGCCACACTCGTTCTTTTAAACTGAATATAAGCATTTTCCTAATTGCTTTATTCATTACAAACATATTCTTTCAACATTTCTTTTAGGTAAAACGATCTATCTTAAATTTTCTTAAATTAAAAAAAAAAA